AATACAGTGCAGTGATTGGATTAAACAAGCTCTTTCTCATTAATAATGCTTTCTCATTAATAATGCTCAGGAACTGCTGACGTACATTCTTACTGTTCAAGCCACTGCAGCCAATCACCACTCCGAATTAACGCATATACCTCTTTTTTCATGACGTTGATTCAACCAGAGCCCGTCTAACGGAGAGCCTTGGCACTTCCTTTTAGCCCGGTTGTGTATCATATTGGTTGCAGTTCCATTAGAATTCCACTGGAGGTGATCGCGGGCGAGTGCAGAATGAATGGGAGTCTATGGAGCTAAACGGCTAAATGTATCTCCTTCTCCTGCTTGTCGTTGAATCAACATATATTTTATTGTTGATTCCGCAAGTTCAATATAGATGATAGGCCAAAAGTCGAATGAACGAGTACTTATGTCCTTTCGATTTCTTTCAGGTTAGGCCGTTGTTGACCGGAACACGCTAGCATTCTGCTATTATGTGACGTCATCACATTTTTGAACGGATTTTTAGAACAGATAAGTGAACTTAAAAATGCAGTTTTCAGCTGAGTGTATTATCTTAGCCCTCCCTTTTGAATGCAACTTTCAAATTACTTGACAAAAAATTACATCCTGAGAAAAGTGGATTTCTGGGGGTGAAACCCTATAGACTCCCATTCATTCTGCACTCGCCTGCGAGCGCCCCCGCATGGACAGAGACGAAATAGCTCATAAAAATAAAAAAATAACCACTTTTCTCTTAATAATAAACACGAGTACTATTGTTGTTTTCAGTGATGTGCAACCTGTACATATCTGTTAACATCTCAAAAATGTGTTTTAGTATTTCATGACCCTTTACGGTATGTTCACACTAAAATGAATATTCATTGCGAAAATGAAGTGCGATAAACATTTTTATCAATGATTCTGTTCAGACGAACACAAACATTTGCGTGCCAACAACGCAACAGATTATATACAGTATAAATATTTTTTACATAAAGGGTTCTTAACTTTTTTCCATTGCGCGGTGAAGACAACTGGCCAACCATTAAGATGTTGCTCACATGCCTAGAGCCGCTGCTTTTACATAAAACTACAACTTGGTGGCGCTCCGCTCATGAACATACTATTTCTAAATGATAGTGAATAGCATAGGAAGAAACCAGAACCAACTCTCTTCTCTATTTGCTGGGGTTTGATAACATACACCACAGTGAATACACATCTAAACGGCTGTTTTAAAACATGGAAACACTTTTTGAGTTACTTGCTTCTCTCTAACAAGAAAGTTGCAGCTTTGTATGTAGCATAATAATTAGGGTAACCACTGTATTACTGCTTTTCTACAAGTGCCACCTACTGTCAGAGAGATTTGATTCAATCCATTTGCCATTTCTTTCCCCCACTAAGGCCTGAACAGACAAGAAACATCACATAAGAAAATAAGACCTAATATTTGTGCTGAACAGTGTTAGTGTGAACAGAACTTCTATGCTCAAAAAACAATAAAAATATACATTTCAGGTTGGTATAGCCAATGCGTATGTTTAAGCACACAATTGTTTCTATGGGAAGCGGAGCTTCTAAAAGCACGAAGCACGCGATTACCAATTGCTTCTTTTATTTAGAAGGCGGGACTTTTTCGATTGTAGTTTTTCCCCATTTGTAGTGACTGAGAGAATCATATTGTTATACAGTATATACAGTCTTAGACTAGTTTTACATACAGTATACAACTCATCAACTAGTGACAGAACCAATCAACTACTTGGTGCAATCCTTAGCTGATAAAGAAAATAAGGGTGGAAAAACAAACCAAAAATAAAACTGTTCTACATAAATCAATCTGGTATTTGAGTTCTGTCTCAGTGGTCAAGCCAGATGGTTAGAAAATGTACAGTCAGGCCAGCAGAGATAAAAATATTAGCACGTCCCTATTATAAAAATAATTGTAATCTCAAGGAACAGCACAAAGAAGATATGTTTTGTTGTTGTTTCTTAATTAAGTTTTCCAGTGAGTATATGAACCAATTTTTTTCACGCTTTATTTAATTACTGCCGGTTTAAATAAATAATTACCTAATTTATATTGTTACACCAACGTTTACTTCACTGAGAGGTACTTCGTACTTGAAAGCTAATATTTTAAATTCAGTTTTTAATAACCTTTAAAGTCAACATGAAGTGACATCTGCAAACTATTTTCTGTAATGTGATGTTTAATGAGAAAATGTGAATTGACAAAATAACAGGGATGGACGGTCGTTTCAGAGATTGCAAAGAAAAACACTTTTTCCACTTAGAATTAATATGTAAAAAGTAAACGGGGCTATTTTCATTTTATGCCGACTTCACATTGTATTAGGGAAGGACAAAAGAGATATGCGTTCCGAATTTGTCTCTCCTCCAAAACACATGACACTGAAAAATTAAGTTGTCCAGTGACTCTATTAGTCTATTGACTGCATATTGTTTTTCATTTTCTGACTTTAATCACACTCTTTGTTTTTGTTCATTTTAATTACTCTCTTTGCAGCAATAATGACCTCTTTTTTAGTCTATTAGTCTATTGACTGTATATTGTTTTTAATTATCTGACTTTATCACACTCTTTGTTTTTGTTCATTTTAATTACTCTCTTTGCGGCAATAATTACCTCTTTTTTATTGTTACACCAATGTTTACTTCACGGAGTACTTTGTACTTGACAGCTAATGTTAAAAAAAAAAAAAAAAATTATTGAATAAACTTTTAAAAATTAGCATGTGAGTTTTTGTTGTGGTATTAATATTGGCAATGAGAACTGTGATATTTCGGCTGTGAAAGTTCAGCTACTAAAATGCTTGTGTCGTGACAACCCTAGTATGTACGTGTGCATGTGTGCACTCAGCGTGTGTTTATCAGGAAGTGGGGGTGTGGTAGGGTTGGCTAACAGGTGGGCGTCTCTGTCTTGATTAGAGCCGTCTCTCTCGGGGGCCCAACAATGGGATGATTGCTTCCTCTAACTGCTGGCAGTGGCCCAGTGCATTGCTGCTGGCATGACTGGCTTTACAAAGAGCCCTTACAACCGGGTCTGATTGTATCCTTTTCTGCCAACCACATGCCAACATATATCAACTCCCCACCACAGGGCCACAGGAAGAAAATAAAATCATTGGTAATAAGGTGCAGTTGGGGGATGTAACAACCGCAAAAGGCTCACTGCAAATTCATCTCTTTGCCATCAGGCTACAGGAAGAGTCCATTCTCATTACAATTCCTAATAATGGGCCCAAAGAAAATAAGATTTGCTTTTAGCTTCCAGGGTCTTGATGATAGTTCGCCAGCTGGGACCACGAGCACAGGAAGCCGATTCATTTTCTTTCTTCAACAGCATTTTTAGAGAGCTTTGTAGTGTGCAACAAAAAGATAAAGTATAAAATCTCTAACCCAATTCTCCTTGGTGAACTCAAAAACTAGACATAAAGTCAACATGAAATGGCATCCGCAAACCATTTTACTTCTGTAATGTGATGTATTGCCAGGTGAAATTGGATGTTAAATGAGAAAACGTGAAGTGATTTGAATAACAGGGATTGGTGGACAGTCATTTCAGAGATTACAAAGACAAACACTTCTTTCCCCTTTGAGTATGTAAAAAGTAAACAGGGCCACATTCATTTCATGCTGACTTCACATTGTACTAGAGAGCGAGTAATATGCAGTCCCCATGTGTCCCTCCTCCAAAACACATGACACTGAAAAATGCAAATGCTCATTTAGGGCAGATTATGAATGATGTATTAAGATATGGCAGCGGTGTTTCTCAACCTGCTCAAATGCTCAAGTCTCTGGCTGAACTGACAAACACACTGTAATTACAATCAGTGACAGCACACAGGCCCACACATTACATCTCTGACACATTAAATGCTGCAGCCTCAACAGAGCCTCTGTGACTAATGAAGAGTGCTTAACATCACAAAAACCCAGCCTAGAGCAACTTACAGTTGATCAACATCACACACAGAACAGCAGTTGGCAAAGTCAACAGGAAGACAATACCTCAACATAAGAAAACAGAATAAGCTATAAAATCAACTCACATGGAGAGTTGTTAGAACTGGTTAAACATGCAGACTTATTCCATGGAAGAACTGATATGTTGGAAATGATATGTTTGAAAACCATGGGAAGAAATGGAAATTGTGCGAAAATAAAGAGACCAACTTAATATTGTAAATCTATAATTGTATGTATTTACATTCATAATTGGCACAAAAGCCAAGTTTTGATTTTAATTATATACCTTTTATGCAAACATGTCAATAGAAGTAAAGAAATGATAATACATAATTTAAGAAAAAAATTAATTCTAGGTTATTCCTGAACTTTATACCAAACACACAGCATAACAAAATTAAATACAAAAAGGAAACTAAACCAACAAACCTTTTCCTAAAAAATTTAGATATACAAGGATGTTTAATTGTGTGTTAAAAGAAAGGATCGGCAATGATCTTATGATCAATTATGTTCTTTGTTTTAATCTCAAGTGTTCAGCACTAAATTACAGGTGTAAACATGAACCAATCAAATCACATTTGATGCCATTCAAAAACGCATGTGACTACATAGCATCTGTAGTATGAACCCTGTAATTTGCTAGGGATAAATATTTTTTTGTGCTATATCAACACTGATGTAGCCAGTAAGACCCTTCCTGTGAAATCTGATCAAAAATGATAAGAGGAGATGAATTCAATATGCCAGGTGTAAACTGCAATCTGTCTAAGCTGATGTTAAAAGCTGGTGTAAACCGGGTCTTTGCATAGAGCAGTTTGTCCCAACACTTAGACACCCCAACCATTTTAGGATACATTTTTTAAATACATTTTAGGATAGTATTTACTCTAGAGTAATACAAAATAAATGACATTTTCATACAACAGCACTCTAGTACTCTATAATACAGCCAACTGCAAGGCTAACAAAAACATCAGAAGTGTGTGGAGTGCTGAGAGACATGTACTCACCCTCGATTGGCTCTGGGTCAGCGAGCGAAGGCTCCTGGCTGCTGATGGGCTGATTGTGCCCGCTCTCCTCTTGAACCTGCTTACACACTCTGCAGGTGTACCCATCCTGCACCTGACTGTTAGGGTCAGCACCCTCCTGCCTCTCACAGTCCACGTGAACCCATCTGATAGAGAAAATTACAATAAACAACCATGACTCTGACAACCATCGATGACCCAATCGAGATGAAAGCGTAATTGCATTGTTTTGTATTTATTTATTTATTTTTGGTAAACTGACATTATTTGTTAAGCTTTACATTACATGAATTTCTAGTGTTAATACAAGCAGGAGTGTAGAGCATGTGGTTTTGGTAAAGTTGAAATTTGTTATTTGAGCTAAAAAGTTCTTGCGTCCATCATGTTGTCCATAGACATTGTTTACTATGACTGTTTTTAGTGTCATACTCAATGAGCATTGTGTTTAAGATGTTGTATCAAGGTATTCAACTTTTAAAAATGCATTTTAAGACCCGGTATTCTGTCTGCATGGTCATGTAGTGAAAAATTTGGATATAAACAATATTGTCAAACTAATCTCAAGCTACAATATAACTACAATATTCTCAGAGCTATTTAAATACAATGACCTTTGAACGAATTATGTCAGTCCCATTTTGCAACTCTCGAAACATTTGCACATACATGACACATATCGTGACATACAAGATCACATGTCTGATCCCTAGTTAGTTAGTTAAAGCAAGAGAAAAATTTAATCTGCCAAACAAATGATATGAGATTTTTTTTCCATTCACAAAGACATCACTGAGGCATTTTAAAAAGCTGGCGGTTCAATTACAACGTTCTATAGAGACCTTTTGTAAGATAATTTCTCTATTAGTTAATCATAGTATTTGAAGCCTGCAGAGAAGTAATCAGCTAATATTCATCAATACCAGTCTTCACATCAGTAATGGACAACACCACTAGGCTGTAACGACGCATCAATGTAATTGATTACATTCATTACCCACTGTTTATGTTCCTAAACCCCCAAAAAAAACTCTCGAGCAGGTGCTAGTATGGCAGCGCTGTTTAATATTTACCCATCCGTTAGGCTAAAAACAGCCGATATTGGGTTTTTAACCCAGTTTTTTTTTTTGTGTGTAGTAATAATACTTAAAAAGTAATGTCATGGTAGATGCTAGTCAAATTTGGCAGATGCCAACATTCTTGAAAACCAATAAAAAACTAAAGTAAAAGAATGTGAATTTTCTTTTTAAATACAACCTAGACTATATTACACATGGGTTCACTTGCAATGAGTCTGAACATGGTTTGTGTTAACCACAATGTGTTTAGAGTGGTGAATTACCGCCTGCCGAGAGCAGGAAACCATTGCAATTCAACTGACATTTAGAAACCAAACATGTAAACGCTGAAGGATGACACTTAATGAATTTTCCTAATAAAATAACATTTTAATGAAAATTTGCGTCCTATTGTTTTTATGCAGAAACCGATTCATTAAAGCAACAGGTCACTCGAGACTGTGTGATATTGTCATAGCTGAGGGGGTCTCATTTCCTACCTCTTGCATGTGCAGCATGAGTGTTTGTCTGTAGGATTGCCAGAGTCCTGATTCTGCCCACAGATGAAGCAGAGCTGTGCTGAATCATGCTGCTGTTGACATCCTTCACACATTACACCATTAGATGACCACTGACCGTTAGGCCTCATGCCACACTGAGCACACGCCCGGCAGTTCTGCAAAACACAACGTTCAATTCACTCTGGCATCATTTAATATCATGTCAGCAAAACCATTTAAAGTGAACATGAAATCAAATTGAACCATTTCCTATTCCTGTTCTTATTGAGCATGAGACAAATGCACATTACAATATTAATAACAAATTATATTATAACCTAACTTTATGGCCCAATTAAATCCCAGTTGATTAAATAAAGGTTTAAGGCATTGCTAATGTTCTTTCATAAAGAAGGACGATTTGACCAAAATCTTATGGTATGAGTAATTGTAGTAAATACAATGCAATGGGCCATTTTTATTCTCATTAAAACAACATATACCTATTTATTTTTCTGGGAATACAAAAAAACAACAACATTTATACAGTTTATTTATACCAAAGTTTGGGGTTGGTAAGATTTTTGAAATATTATTATCTAAAATAACTGTTTTCTATTTTACTATCCAATTTATTACATTACATTTTGGTAAAGCTGATTTTCAGCAACATTACATCAGTGTTCAATGTCACATGTTTCTTCATAAATCATTCTATAGTGCTGATCTGGTGCTCAAGAAATATTTATTATTATCATCATCAATGTAGAAATATTTTGTGGAAACTTTTTTTTTTTGCAAGATTCTTTGATGAACAAAGTTCAAAAGAACAGTATTTATACATTGAAAATGTCTTTACTGTTACTTTTGATCCATTTAATGCATCCATGCTGAAAGCATTACTTTCTGTCAAAGAAAATAATCTTACTGACTCCAAACTTTGGAACAGTAGTGTATATTAAATAACCACGTGGAACTGCCTTCCTCATCTTGACCTATTTCGGACATGTCTCACTCCATTTTCGCACTATTCCATGTTTAAATAAACTGTACATAATGTAAAGCAGTCTTGCCAAGTGATGGCAAATATACACATACCTACAGTGGTGTAAACAGTATAGCAAATAATACTATTGTAATACTGTTGCTTCATCCCTATTGCGTCACGTACTGCAGAGACCAACTTAAATGACCAAAACAAATGATTTAAAAAAAGCAAAAATGACAACTAGTATCTGAACAATGACATTTGAACTTAACAACAATTGCAAACTGAACATTTTATGGGCTCTCTTAAATCAATTTGGATTGAGTTCCAGCATAATTACGGCTCTATAAATCCTCAAAAACATGTTCATCAGTCTGCATCAGCACTCAATGGGAGCAAAGCGCCAGAAAATTCCATCTCAATTAAAAAAAATCATAAATAAAAGGCACTTCAAGCTCATCAAAAGCAGCTTTTCAGCCAGCTGAAGAGGGGCAAGAATCATCTCTAATAACCACCCACAGACCCTTAGCAGGAAATCCAAGCCCTGTCAAGCCTCTGATGATGGGCAGACTCCTTTACTGAGTCCTGGATGACAGGTGGGGCTTCTTAGCCGCCTCCACAAAGTGATGGAAGCAGTCTGAGAGGGATCTGTGTGGGATTTGGTTCAGCTTTTATATTCTTTCAGATATGCAAGATATTTAGAGGTCTACTAGAAATCTAACTCAATTTAGAAAAGTGTTGTGTGGTCTCAGACTCAGATGGTTAGATCATGGACCATCTGTTGCATTCCACACAAAAAGATCTTTCTTAAAAATGTAAGTTTCAACTTGATTGGCTGACTTCATGCTATTTCTGGTCAAAGTGACGACAGATTTTTTAAATCAATGTTCCAATGGCCCAATAGTGCTCTGTTAAGTGTATTTAATAGGGCATTTGACCATCTTAAGTTGGCTTTGCTACAGTCCCAAACAACCTGAATATTATTGGCAGTATTACTTAAAATGCATAACATTTGTTTTTCTTTTTACACTTGGCATCTAGTCAATAGGTTTGTATTACACATTCTGATTCAATTACAACATGTCAAATATTTTTGGGGTTAAATCAAAGGGTGTTTTTTTATATTCTGATTCATCTGGAGGCTAATTGGTTTGATTTTGATTTATTATTTATTAAAAATCCTTAGGGAGAAAATATACAGGGAAAAATACAAGGCTTTTATAGTGGAGATGAACATCTACCCCACAAATCACTCACACAGCTCTTCAAAGTCGGCCGATACCATAAGTGAGTGTACAGGAGAAGTGCATCAAAACCATCTAGTACAGCATGCACATTAGGAATAATTACACCCAGGTAATGAATTCATCATGGCGATTAAATCTAGCTCCAGCATCATTCCATAGGGAATATACAGTATGCTGATGAGATGAAAAACCAATGCACTCTTCAATCCCACAGTCCATAAACACCCACGGGTTGCGTGTTACGGGCTCATAACGGAAATGAAAGCACTGTGTCTCTCTTCTCAAAGCAGGGCAGCATCACTGTCACACTGCTGTTTGTAGTCCATACACAAACACAAGCTTACCTTGCACCTCCAGCCATTGGTGGGTATTGTGTCCACGATGGGCTGCAGGCAGAATGTGTGATACCCTTTATCACACATGTCACACACCAGCATCTTGCTGTCTTCCCCTGGGTTCCTACAGACCAGAAAAAGGATACTGTAGATTAGAACAGAGGATGATTTCAGACACAGGGTTAGGGGCTTTTGCAAAGACGGCATTCTGACCTATTATACTGTTAACTGTTCGTTTGCAGCTTGTGGCCAGTTAGGCAGGTTTCAGTGACAAGAAATCTGCCTATCCTGGGTGAAAGTGCTTTTAGCCAATCAGAAGAGAATTCATGTTTAATGTATTATGTAGAGCAGAAATGGACAGTAGGCAGTGACTGAAAAAATGACCTGTTGTTTGCTGCAATCTAGCCCTTTGTTTTATAGTTCAGCCTTTTTCATTTAGCATTTTCTTCTTTTTGTGTTGGGATGCACTGAAATTTTGCCTACCGACAATTTTCAGCATAAACAGCTTTTTCCGGTTTCGGGGCAAAATCATTGACCCGAAACAGACATTTAATTAGCACTTCTTCAATGGCACGTTTCGACTGTGTTAAGCATCTATTTTGTGGACACAATGTGGATAAGCTACAACAGTTAAACATGTCAACTGTGTGCTTGTACACCTTGTAGGCTATGCAATGTCACTTAACGTTACATTTACCTTAAAAAAATCTATTTAATGTCCATGAACTCATTAGTTTAAAAAAAATAACTCTAGGAGAAAAGCATTTTGCATTACATATTCATTATATTTTTAATTACTTAACCTGTTAGTGGTCTTTAATGTATGTTTGAATAAATCTGTCATGAAAACAAGTTATTACAGTTGATTGTTCATTAAATGTTTATATATCACACACAGAATGGAATAGACCTTATGTGAAATTTAAATGTTTGTACAACCCATGTTTAGCTATTTGGGCATTTGATTAATTAATAGATTATTAATTTATTATTTATTTTTGGTTTCTGTTTTTGGCCCAGAATTTTGAGGCAAAATTTGTGTGCCTCACCAATTTTAGCTGGAAGTAGGTTTGACAATTTAAAGCCCTATCAGCCATGGAGTGTAGACATGTTTGATGGACTACTGGAAGACCATGCTGAGAGAAGTGAAGATTACGGTGTAAATCGTGATTCCAGTGTAAACACATTTATGCCAATTATGAACCAAGATGATCGTTTAGATGTACATGTTACTCCTGTTGTTATGCTACAATAATTCAGTGAGAAATATCAGAAGCAGTCATTTAATTAATGAGTTATTTTTCCATTTATGTCTAGTACTAAGGTGATTCAAGTTTGTGACTGGGCCGTGGGCTTGATCAAATTAACTGTCATTATCCATTTAGAGACTACCATCTACAGAGAGATGTTTAATCGATTAAAAAGCTGATTAACAGAAGGGGTTGTTCCCCATTCTGTCAGTTTCAAAATGTAAAGCACAACGCAAATTTTTCTATTTTCCAATATTTTTTGTGAATTTTAGTGAAGTGTTAATTTAATTTCCACTTTTTTGCAACAAATTTAAAAATCAATATTGGTCAAACACCATGATGTAAAACTATATTATCAACTGATCTACTCTCAAGACATCAGCCATTAAAAAAGCACTGTTAACTGCAGCCACCCCTCCTCAGCCCAATACAACCTTATTTTACATACACAAGCAAACAAACACCCCATTAAATTCTCCCCATGAGCAATAACACTTTCACTGTGACTTTTCAGAGCCAAAATGTGTCTAAGTGGTAAATCAGAGAGGAGAAAGTCAGATTTATAGAGCTACAAGGAGGATAGGGTGACGTTCCGGAGATTTATCCATTTCCAGTCCTATATTTTCAGCCAATGCAAATCCACCTCATCTGATATTTACAGCCGCGCTGAGCCATTACATTCATGTTCACCCAGATCAAGACAGATGCACGTTTTGCCTTTCCCAGCCGTGCTGTATCTGATTCCCAGTCCAGCAGCACATCACAGTGGAGAATACAGAGCTTAAACGCAATACAATCTATTTAAACTACACTGCAATTGAATAAAAATATATATATCAAATAGAATGCACTTTGTTTACATTTTCTGCACTGATCTGAAAATCTATGGATTTATATTATCCACCTTATTTTTTATCTATAAGCGAGAGAGGCCTTTTGTAAATTCAGTGTTTGGCTTTTTGTGACACCCGCTTCCAATTATTTTCAGATGTACGAAAGAGCTTGTCATGCTGCTTGATACGGCAAACCAATTCTTTTTTATATTTCTTACCATTTTACTTCAATGTATTGTCTTCATTATAAACACACTGGTTAGTCCAAAGAGTTTCACCGTTTACTGCACTTTGTTCTTCTCGTTATTCCCCTATAGCGGGTTATGATTTAGAAGTCTCGCAGATTCACAGAAAACAGCTTACTTGGATATAGCAGAACATATAAAACAGACTACTGAGAGAGGCTGAGGTAGCTGAAAGCATTCTCAAATCCGCCACAAATCTAAAGGTAAAGAGTACAATTTTCTGAACGATGAGTGATCAAATTCTCCAGAAGTCTGAATGTCCAGGTGAGCTGGATACTCACTTGCATGCCAGGCAGACTTTGCACTCAGGACACTGCCAGCCGGCCCTCTTCAGCGGGGTCACAGTGATGTCCAGACAGGCCCCATGGTAATGCTGGCCACATGTGCAGCAAAACAGCTGATCGAGTAAGTCTCCAGAACTGTCACACACCAGACAGTTCACCTCATCTTTTGCTGAAAAGAGAAAATATATATAATGGGTCTCGAACTCCACACTGCATGTCTTAGATGCAGTAATATATGTGTCTTGGCGAGGATTCACGCAAATATTATCTGTTATATCTTAAATAAACATTTGGTTAACTGTTGGGGAATATCATCTGATGTGTAACATTATATTACATCCAGCGGTACAGTAGGTCAGAATATAGGATGTCTGTAAAAAACAAAAAAAATTGGTTTCATGGGGAAAAAAGTTCAATACATATTTTCCCTATAGATATTTGGTTTTGACCTAGAGTGTGCTACATTTGGTGTTATTACCAGGGATGTTAAGGTAATACCACCCAAAACTTAAACCTTAAAGCACTGTTTATTTCCTTTGTACCTTTGTTTTATCGTATTCGTCCTATTGTTTGTAATTTGCCTCTTTGTTCTTATTTTTAATAGTTGAAAAATGTAAATGTAATGTAAATGTAACTATATATTACCAAGCTGAGCAAAGAGTTGTTGGTATTTAAATAGTTATTTTGTCATCGTTTGTTTACATTGATGTTAAAATGACATTGTCAGATTTGAGACATTACTTTTTATGTAATGATAAAAAACAGCTGTTCACTTTCAGAAGTTGTAGTGATGAGAAAGAATGTGTTATACATTGCTTATATCATTTTCAGTTTTTACATTTTGTGTATATATATATATATATATATAATTGACATTGATTTTACACACTTAAAGCAATATCGTAAGTTATAGCATATCGCAATTCTCGTGCAGGGAATTCGTGCAGCCCTAACTAAAACAAAAAGCCTTAAGATTTTGTCAACGAATCAGCAGAAGGGAATGTGTGTACCACAGAAACTCACATCGGATGAGGGCTTGCTGGATGTGATCCGGGCAGAGGAGGGTGTATGTCTTTATGTTCTGGAAGGTTCCGGCAGCAGCTGCACAGGGGTAATGAAAGGAGCGCCCACAGCTCTCCTCACAGCACTTTATGGATGCTCCAAGGCGCTTACAGTATGCACAGCACTACAAAAGTTAATACAGACACATAAATATTGGTGGTGTAGTTGCAGTAAAAAAAAAAAAAAAAATACTCTGTACGTCACAATTAGACATGCAGTTCAGTTTCATTTAGATTATATTAATTTCAGGCCAATATGAACTGTTATTTTTACACAGCTCCAAAACTGCTCAAGGAGGTGAATAATATTTTGCATTTATAATTCGTTTACCCTCTTTATGGTTTTCTTTAGATTAAGTAGCACAGGTCCCTAAAACTGAATCATTTGCTAGACTGTTTTTCCCCTTGTTATTACCGTTATTGTTATGAGCATATCTCTGGTGAGCACCTGTACGCATCCATGGACCGTCATCAACAGAATACACAAGCTTTTATGCAGGCTACAAATGCAAACTTCATTAGTAGCAATCGCTCGATTCACCAAAGTTGCAAGATTCATGGAATTACATGTTTATTGGATTTTCAAAGACGTGTTTAAATGATAAAAATGTGTACTTGCTGAATGCCAATGGTACAAGAGAAAGTATTACAGTGTTTTCCTTTCTACTACCACTAATAGAAATGCAAATGCTATAATACTTTTTCATATACCATTTACTTTCTTTGTTTAACAGTTCTTTCAAAAATTATTTGTAAAATAATGAAGATGGATAATCGGAGGTCCTGTACGTCTGCAATGGTGTATCAAATTAAAAGGCCCTCTTAACCTGACCCTGCATCAAGCGCACTCAGATTAGTTTGTTGTTTAATTCATGTAATGCATCCATTTGCGGTTTATTTTCTGTACAGCGATTCAGTGTTACTTATTATACTATATTATCAGTGTTGGGATGGTTACTTTGGAAATGTAATAGGTTACAGATTACAAGTTACCCTATTTAAAATTGTATAAGTAGTGTAACAATTAGTGCTGTCAAACGATTAAAATATTTAATTGCGATTAATCACATTAATGTCATAGTTAACTCGTGATTAATCGCACATTTTTATCTATTCTAGAATCTAAATGTCTCTTGATTTCTTTTTGTCCCGTTATTTTTTTCTCATTTTTAATGCTCATCAACATTCTCACTTGGAGCAAATAATAAATCTCTCACACAATGTAACACTGTCCATCAATAAAAGGGTGAAAGAAATACTGACGAGATCCTGCTATTGACGAGGGGGCGGAGAATTCGCATCAGCTGTGTGTGTGTGTGCTTGGCCATCAAGTGGTATTTCAGACTGGACGTGCTGTGATCGCGATGATGATAGCTCAGTTCACAACGACAAAACACACAGATCACTTTGGTCTCGTCAATGCAACCATTTGGCAACTTTTTAAAAGTAAACTTTCCATTCAGAATCTTATTGGCATCCATTTCGGCGTCTCGCGCTCGCCATCCACTCAAACCGTAACGTTAACCAACTATTTGGCCGGCTCGCAAGCCCAAACAAGTGTGTGCCTGTTGTTTTGCTTCCGGTCTAGCTAGATCAGCTTGCACTTTGGTCAACGAAGCAACAAAACGTCCTCGCACGGCACAAGCCATTGAAATGAATGGGTTTCATAGCGCAGCGCCGCGCATGGCGCGTCCTGTTGCAAAAGCATGTGAAAAAAACTACAAAGTTTGCTAGGCCAAAAAGACCGTTAATCGCGCGATAAAAAAATTGACGCCGTTAATAACGCGTTTAACTGACAGCCCTTGTAACAATATAAAATACTTTATTAAAAAAATGTAACTGATTACATTTGATTTTAATTATTTTTTCTAAATTTCTAACAAATGTTTTCAACTGTGTTAATCATTTTCAAACATTTAAACCAGGCAAGGTTAAACTTACAGTAGTACTCAACACTGATTACTGTCAGACTTTCAAAATCCGTCATCACTTGAATTAAGATTTTAAACAAAAAATTATGTTAAAGCACAGCCACCACAAAATCAGACTTTAGCTCTTCTTTTTACTTTGAGATCGTTCTCGAGGTTAAATAAAGATTTCTGGATGAAACGATTTTTAAATGTCCAGCACTGGAACACATTTTTTATCACTCGCCATGGTGGCAACTCAGACAGGTTGTAGTCTAAAGCTTTCAGCGGCAATATGGATTGATGTAATTGGCAGGAGTGGTGCGCTGCAAATTCAAACGAAAACCAATCAAAAGCATCAGAACAGCATTGCTTTACTAAACAGCCTTTAAATGGCAGAAGGCATCGTGCAAAACACAAACAGGCAAACCAACAAATTAATATTATTCAACATATCCTAGCTTTTTACAGAAAATATTCAGATGTAACCCCTTTGTAATCGTTAACATTTTCATAAGTAGCTAATGTAATTAAACATTTTTTTCTCAGTAACTGTAACGGATTACAGTTACATTTATTTTGTAATTAAATTACATAACGCCATTAAATGTAACTAATTACTCCCCAACACAGTACATTATTAAACTTCCAGACACATGAAATGAACCATACCACAAACAAGTACTGCATTGCAAACAGTACACTTTGTTTTTCTAAAAAAGAAACCAAATTTCCATTAAGGTGTATTGACACACATTTGGTGTGACCTTTAAAAGTAAAAACAAAACAACACATCCCTTTAAAACACCTTAACACAGTATGTGAAAATTCCAACTGTGCTGAAACACATTCTTTTTTCTTTTTTTTTATCCCAGTGTAGGTCAATGACCAATAATACATAAGCTGTTGGACTCAAAGAACATAAACAGCCACACCGACAAGCAGCATATAAATTATGTGGCAAGCGATTACTGACAATTTAATTAATTTATTAGGGTAATATAAAGTATGTGACTGCAGAAACTATTATCTACATTCTGTATCCTTATTTGCATTCACTGTGAAGATTACATGTGGTTCTTGGTTTACAGATTGTTTTTTTATATATATAATTTGTTGTTATTTACTGTGAGTAGTTTACTTCATTGAAAAACACATGCTATTTTTCAACAGCAAAAAAAATTATATTAACATCAGACTTTTTAAATAATCATTTAAAATAAAATGTATATTTCATGTAGTATCAAAAATGCAGTGGTAAGTGGCAAAAACGTCCATCTGTTAATTGTGTCGCCATAATCCTGAACAGCAAGGTTGTCATAACACGCTGTTCCTCTCACAGGTCCATTTGATCGTTACATACTTCCCCCTCTTTCAGCCTGTATTTTTTCAGCCTTTCAGATATATCCAGTAAAGCATTCGGGATCAAGGCAAATGCCATTCAAAATAAGGACTAGGATGAAAACTGGCCAGACATTTAAATCACCACCATGGAAAAAGCACTTACACTTTAAATAATAGAGAAAGCAAGGGCCTGAGAAAACGGCCCTAAACTAAAAATGTCTCTAGTCAGCACTCTCTCTAGCTCTCTCATGCTTTAGAAACCCTTGGCCTAAGGCCCAAATGCAACAATCTGCAAATACCTTTTAACACCGAGCTTTAAGCAATTATCGCCCAGGCGGTGAGTCCACTGAGGCTGACAGCAGCCTATACCCACAATGCTCTTTTCTGAACCGCTCTGAAGGACAGACATGTAGAGCTCTATGGCCATACTGTCCACTCTCGGGGCTGGCTGGGTTTTGAGTATCTCATCACTATTCCATGCCTCAAATAATTGAAACCATCCCCTCAGACATCTCCTTCATGGGGTGAAAAAGTTACAGCTGATCCATTATTGCTGCCAAAACTCCAAGGACACTATTATAAAGTAGAACAGCATTCCCTCCTTGAAATCCTATATGCAAAGAGGCATAATGGCAGCATTCCAAACGGAGCAGGCCAGTGATGAAAGATGCAGTAAAGTGTTGGATGAGTGTGCCGTACTATGCACAATGTCAGCTGGTTTGTGTCTCGGTCAGTCAGTGTGTGGACAGTGTTATGCAGCGATTCTGTTTATAGCATGTGGAACGCTTTATAGACATAACCTTAATCCAGCGATTGGAAGTTGTTTTTGCATATTTGCAACTCATTTCTACCCGTTCCGACTGCTCTCTTGTCTAAAAGTCAAGAACGCATTACAAAACTGACCTGATTTACTTTGTAAAAGCATGTTCTTGGTTTTATACATGTTTTATTTGTAACCTTTAGTGTTATTTTTGACTAAATCTATGATGAAAATTGTTCGTTGACGACCTTTTTTCCCCCCATGACTACGACGAGACGACACCAACGTCTTTAAACGATAACTGTGACTATATCAACATGGAATATCATTGATGAAAAAAGACGAGACTAAAATGGAGTTAATAAATAAAAACTTTACAAAAACCTCGACTTATTTATGACAAATAAAAATAGACAAACTACCGATATTACAGTTTTTAACAAGCCTCTACAAGCTTTCATGCTTGCGGTTGCCAGATATCAGGAGTTTAAATCCCCCAATCAGAGATTTTCGGTAAAAGGATACATTCAAATTAAGTCATAGGAAGATGATCTGGGGTAAGGGACTGTGTGAAGTTCAGGTCATCCTCTCTGAACTTTACTATTTCACAGCTCTGCAAGTCTCACTGCCAGGACAAACCTACATTAAACTCCTTATTGAAGCAAGTCAGTTCATTCAGCAGCCATCCTGGCAATATCCTCCGGTAGCTGACACTTTCCATGAATAGGGTACAAATTGGTTTCTTTTTCTCTCTCTTAAGAAATAGAGGAATAAAAGAATCATGGACTTTGTTTTGAGAACTATTGTCGCTGTCTGGCGGAAACTCCATGCACCATGTTGTCAAAGTTGATATTGTGGCTTTATATATGGTCAGACACTTGCATGTGTCATTATATTATTAATATTTCACAAAAATCAAGCTCAAATGGAGTTACAAGGCTTTTGACCAGCAAATTTCAGAGAATGTCGGATTTATACGCGTTTTGTCTGTCATTAAAATGGCCGCATCTGAGGCAGTAAGTGCAATGCATTAGGTTTTCATTACCTTACAGGTTATAAAGTTTATTGTAGCGGTGGGGGCGCTCATTTTTTTTTCTGACACTTGGCCATAATCTCGTGTTATTAAAGACAAAGTACTTTGCAGAGGCTATTTAAGACAGTACTAGCAATGACTTGATGACAAATTCTAGACTGACACTCTTCTCCACTCCTCAAATACATAAAACATTACTCAAGAAACATATATATATATATATATATATATATAAAGAAGGATATAAAATATGAACAAAGAACCAGTTCTTTAATTAACCTTGCATTGCAAAGTCCAAACTGTGTGCGGTACTTCATTCACAATAGAGGCGTGGTGGAGTTAAGAACTTTTACTGACAGTTTGTGGTTCCAATGGAGTTAAAAAGTTTAGTCACATGTTCTTTTTAATATTTTTCATTGGTTAGATATTTTCAAAACACACAGACAGATGTAAAGGGTGGACAATAATAATGATTTATTAATAAATGGAAAAAATAGAAATATGGAGATATGAGGTTTCCGCCCAACAGCGAAGTAGTTAAAATATTCTTAACGTAGAAGTAGTTAACTACTTCTATTTTAATAGCGATTAAAATAGAAGCAGTTCGTTTTTAAATCTATTTTCCCCTTAAAAAAAACATTTCGGTGTATGTTCCACCCAGAGGTCTTGACCTTCATGACTGTTTCTAACAATTATAATTTTACATAAAAACTGTGACAATCTGTTTTATTATGTTGATATTCAACTGACTGTAGTAAAAAAAATTTAAAAATTAAAATTTTATTTAGTAAAAATGTATTTTTTACCATGTTTAAGTGACCATAAAAATACTGTATGCTTAAACATTTACCACAGTTTATTTACAATTAAAAAAAAAAAATGCTTAAAAATTGTGACTAAGGAAGTGACATCATTTGGACCCTTTCTACAGCATTACAGGAAGAAAAAAAATAAACATTACATTTTCTCAATTTCTAGATAAACGGCAGTGTTGACAAGTTTCCAGCTCAACCATTCAACCTGTTGCCTGAGTTATTGCAAGAAAAATTATGAAACAATTATCATTATTTTTTACCCCAAATATAATATCTACAAAATGGCATGCATATTCCAACCAAACAAGGCCAGGCACTGCTAATCACATACTGGCTGGCCTTGAGCTCCTAAACATACGGTAAATCAACTGGGCTCAGTGTTAGAAGACCAGGTCTACCTTAAAAAAGGCCCCAGTCACCCCGGTCATAAACTGTTCTCCCCTCTGCTGTCTGGCAAACAGTAACTAACAAACCCTTCAATCAAAGTCCACTGGATTACTGAACAGCTTCTACATGCAGGCAATAAAGCTGCTAAATGGGTAAGCTGCAGAGCAACAGCTCTAATGGTCACTGTGGCACTCCCATATAGAGAAAGTGTGGAAAACCTAGCATGATGTAAAGTTAAGGCATCATCTGAATCATTTACTTTGTGAACAACTCTTCCCACTGAATCAATTATCAGTTGCTGCTGCAGCAGAGAAGCAGAGTACCAGAGGAAGATACACCAAAACAAAAGGAAAGTCTTCTGAACAACATTTTCACTGACCACAATCTTGACATCGATACCATGGGGAAACACTTCCAGATATTTTTTTATATTATCTTATATTATCTCATTTTAATATTATCTGCTGTCACTTTAGGCCTGACACACGGATCCATTATACTGTTACACATTTCTTTCTCAACTGTTAATGTTTACTTAAAACATAACCGACTGTGTTTACGTACATTCTCGCCAAGACCGGCATTTTGACTATTTTTTGGTGTGTATTTGACTGTTTAAGCACAATAAGCAGCGAAAAAGAACTCACTTTAGTACTGAGAGGCGACTTTAAAAAAAATTATGCATAATCCCATGCCGAAATTCAAGCCCTGTAACACCAAGATTATTCATCCGAAGCAAATTAAAACAAAGGAGTGAGGAGAGGCGAGTTTGTGTGTCAACTCGCTGTCAGAGAGATGAGTGAACGAGAACGTCCAGCTGATATCGTGTATCTGCGGAATGTGTGTATTGGAAGCGTTTCAGAATTTCAGTATCGATATGTATTGAAAAATCTATATTTTTGACAAAACTACACTGCAGTTTATTATTTCAGATGTTTTTTTTTTATAAGACTACAACTGAAAAATGTATATATTATATATAAAATGTAACCCGCCAAAGTGGTTAGTAGGAGTGACTCGGTTACACGCCGCTGCTGAAATCCAATCACGTTTGGCGCGTGTTAATGTCAAGCCCTGCTAATGAAATATTGCTCATCTCACAGAAAACAAGGACCACAATTACACTAAAAGAGTAAGTTTCTATTTGAATTGTTGAAGTTTTGAGAGATCTGTACTGTATTTTGTATATCCACACACTCATATAGATGCAATGTGCTTTTCCACAAAAATCTGATCCCAGGTGAAGAGAACAAGCTGATATAAAAATTAATTACTCCTAATATGCTTTCCCTGCCCGGGTTCGGCGCGCCCCTGCGTCTGCCACATTGCATTGTGTTAATTAGTAGAGTTGCACAAGAGAGACGGCTGTGGCAGTTCTGAACTGCTCCACTAATTAGAAAATATTTAAAAGACCAGGGGACCGACACAACCTCTCCAGTCTCTTCCACTGCCAATAATAACCCCATTCATGATTAACTCTGAATACTTTATCAACAGTCAGCGCATTTGTCATTCCTCCACAGAAATTACTCTCAGGGTAAGTTAAAGCTCAAGTTTGCGACTGCATTCAAAAATACAAACCGGCGCAACACGGGCCCACTCAACTCTACTATTAGCCCTTTGCCACAAAAAAATATGCTGGATCGAGGGATCAGTAAAGCTCTGCCAAATTCAGCCCACATGTCCACGGAGATAAACAATGGCGTCACTGACTATGTTACTATAAAACCCTCTCATAAAAAACAATATAGTGCAGTCTTTATTAACTTGCATATTTGCTACTAAGAGAGTTTTGAGAACATAGTTTTAACTTTCGTAATCAGAATAGGGCTGCATGATTAATCGAAATGCGCTGTGTCTCAGAGCTGCTCTGAAACACTGTGCTTTCAGTGTCTTCGAGCAGCTCATTTGGCAGTAAATTGCTGCTCTACACAAACTCATCTCTGCATGTGATCTGATTCCCCCCCCCTTCCCTTCCCTTTTTGATGCTTGTTATGTGCATTTGGGAAAGCAACATGTGCCAACCATCTTTTATTTATTTATTTGATGTTTAAACCATATAATTAATAATAATAATAATTATATAACAACAACATTTTAGGCCAAATTGAGTAGCTACAATAATGTACAGCAAACTCATTTTAAAATGATTATTTTATGTCTTTTGCATATAATTTTTTTTACCAAAATCATGCAGCCCTACATCATATGCAATTACATATATCAAGTAAAAACAATACTTTTAGGGATGCAGAATATATTCACTTTTCCCCCGTCATCATTTTCTAAAAAATTTGGCAGCCGGCGGCAGCATTTTTGATCATATATTCACATGATAAAAGGGTACAGGTTGATGGAAGAGCCCTTTTAAAAACTTTAATGGCTCTTTCTGGTTTACGCATTTCATCATCTTCACTTGATTTTGGTTTCAGATCTGCTGTACTCTTTCAGAATATGCACAACAGCGGGGAAGTGAAGGAAAGGAGTTAATACCACATTGGTCATCATCCCCAATTTTTACATCATCAACTACATCTATCATAGCATCATTTAAAGCAACACCATGTGATTTTTCCTCAGCGGTCGCCCTACAGGTTGGAAGCAGAATTGTCCATTACTGCTGTCGTAAATAATTTAGCCTACCGCAGCCTACTGTCGCACGCGCACGCTCGCTGTTTATCCAGCACTGGCTTTGGAATCAACAATGGCAGACATCCCAACCTGCAAGAAGTCATTTCAGGGAGGTATATCTTGGTGACTGGATTGTTGACGGGGGGAGGGGGAGGGGGGAGGGGGAGGGGGGAGGGGGGGGGGTGCGGCTGGTGGCGGGTTGACTAGCTTTCGTGAGGCACACTCGCAAGGTCTCTCGCTCTCTCTCTCTCTGCCGTGCTCACGCTATGTATGTTATGCGCGCAGTATGTTCTGTCTCGCATGCGCGCTCTAGATTCCGGCAGATCTGAACTAATTTGTGGGCATCAGGGAGACGCAGGAGACTCCCGGGAGACTTGGGATGTCTGCAATGGCCACAGACAATTTGAGGAAGTGGTGGGGGAAGTGACGTATGCCGTAAAGCAGTCGAATTTTGTAGTTCTTTTTGTGCACGGGTTCCTACCCGAAACCCGAAGTTACATAATGCCAGTAAAAGCGATACAGACCACGTCAGGCTATGGCAGACGTGTCATTTAACTTATTTTAAGTCGATGTACCATCACAAGGGTCTTGGAAATATATTATGAAGGTTGAAAAACTACATAGTGTTACTTTAATGCTCACCTAAAGTTAATCTTTAAACATTAATAAATGAACACTGGTAAATGTCATCTTTAGCAAATCTACAAAAAAAAAGTCTATTTATCATTCGATTTGTTGATTGTAATTGAAGAGCTCTAGTTTTCAAATTGCTCTTTTGAACAGAATACTTGGTGAGGAAATTGTCTCACCTCTCCACCTCCAACGTACTGATGGAGACCAGCAAGTGTACAAAACAGAATTACTTTTTCATTGGTATATGTACATGGAACAGCGCCAGATTGGGTGCTGGTATGTCAGTTGAAAAGAGGTACAAGTTGATGGAACAGCCATTTTAAAGCGCAAACAAATCCACAGAAACATTTAAACACACTGTTGAAGGTGTCACTCACCTCTGTGCTCCCTGAGTCAATTGCTTTGTCCACATACAGCAGCGACTGTCCCTCCCCACGGCATACACCTTCTGACCAGGCAGCACAGCGCAGGTGAGCGCAACACTGGCCTGCAGGTGCAAAAGAATCAAAAACACCATCAGCCATTGAAAGACACAAACAGTCAATGTGACGCTAGTGTAGGGTTACCTACCAGTGGGGTCGAATAAAGACGAAACGTTAATGTCATCGGGAAGGCCTATTTGGCCCAGTTCATCCCAGAATTTGCGGCTGGGCTCCTCAGCAGCGGGGTCTGTACTCCCAGGAGCAGAGGTCGAGTGCAGGCCACTGTCTGGAGAGCTGACCCTGAGGAAGGAAGCGAACGGGCACATTAGCTTCATCTGAAAAGAGACTGAACAAGTTACGAAAGAACATTTCAAGGTGACAGCTGTGTTGCATGTTCTTTTGTCAGATTCCAAACACGTGGCATTTTACTTTTAGACGTCAGCATCCTAAAGATGTTTCAAGAAGGCCTACATTGCAATTGCAACATCCTATGAAGCCCCGTCTGCAACGGCGAGGTATGGGGTTATCATACTTGGCTCCAACACAAGGACTGGCTGTTCAGAGACAAAGTATGAAAGAGACGGAGAAAGAGAGAGGACGAAAGAGAACCGGAAAGGGGGTGGGGGGGGGGGAGGGCAGGAATGACTGGCTTATTGGATGTGGCGCTGAGAGAGTGAGCCACAGAGACTCAGAGAAGCGGAAAAAAGGAATTAACATTTAAAAAGAGAGCCGGTTTGAAGAGGGCCAGCCAGAAGTGGGCTGCAGCAGGGACAGGATGAAAGACTACTGTATGTGATCCCTCTTCTGTCCAGAACATCTGCATAAATATAAATAAACCATTTGGTGTGCACTATCCTCTTTAAAAAGGCTTACATCAGAGGAGCGACATTAGGGATGGGTATCCTGAAGAACTCCTTATACACAATATTATTATGTTTACGATTCTGATCCCTAGAAACGATTCCATACTTAGTTCATATTGTTGACTTAGAATTTGTGGGGTTTGGATTTAGTTTTTCACAAATCCAAAACGACACAAAACCACAATTCCTTTTATTCTATAGAAATTAGCTTACAGGGGTCATTCTCAAATTAGTTTCCTATTGTGGTTCCTTAAATTTTAAAGGTGACCTATAATTCAAAATTGAATTTACCTTGGTATAGTCAAATAACAAGAGTTCAGTGCATGGACATGACATAGAGTGAATCTCAAACTGGTATGTTTTCGCGTTCTCATTTAATTCACGTTTATGAAAAACACCCCTGAAAAACGGTCGGTTCTCCACACAATACCGACTGTGACGCAATAGTCGGGATCATTAATATGTACGCCTCCAAATATTTGCATAATGCCAGCCCTCAATGCCAGGCGGAACTGCGCAGCCGAAGCATGGCAGTTGCTCAGTGTGGATGTACACATGAACACAAAAGTATTTTTTAGTTCCTTCATCTGAGCCTCTGAAGAAACAATGGGTTAATTTTATTTTCTCTGGTAATTTTCCAAACATTTCACCGACTGTTTCCTCAACTTGGGCCAATACAGAGCTGGCCTTGGATCGAGCTACCAAGCAACACTTTCTGATGTGTAATTGTTCAAGTTCAGACAGGTAATCTTTCTCTCAAAATCGTTCAATACTGTTTATGCATCAGTAAGTCAAGCCAGTGACTAAAATATCAGCTTCACATAGTTTCTTTTAGTAGGATGAAAATAATCGTATTTAAATTGTGAACAAATTATATACAGAAAGCGATCAAAGAACAATCTTTCCACACAGCGCGAGTTTATCTGGACACTTGCCAAACTCGTTATGAAATCAATGACGCACATTACTGCACAACGAAGCTCTTACTGTATTTACATCATCGTGTTTGCATTGGTGAAAGCAGAGAGAGTGCAGAAACTGCTTTGCAATGATAAGATCTTCATTCTCGCGATCAACACACAGTCATCTGCTCAATGCTCATCACGGCAACATTTTATGTGATGGGAATAGATCTAAATACTTTAAAAACATCTCACGATTCGTTAATCTCGATAGCTGTTATAGTAAAAACGTATAATAGCAGTAGTTAAAGTATTCGGGAGAGAGTTTCACATGTAATGCGTAGCTATTTCATATGCAAGCATGTCAGCCAATCACAGCAGTGGCTGCGGTTACACTGAATCCCACAGCAGACACGCCCCTTCAAACAGAGTGTTCAAATCAAAGGCTAAAAGCAGGCTAGGAAAAATGCCATTTATTTCTAAATTATGATTATTTTTTTATCTAAAAAACATACTAACATTATAAGGGTAACCCAGGAAACATTATAAAAAATAAAATAAAAACATTCTAGGGCACCTTTAAGGCATCATAGGTGCAGTCCCAATGTAAAGACCTACCCAAATAGCAGGCATTAAATGTTAGTCTTAAAAGTGCACCAAAATATAAGGCAGTATCCTTCACAGAAGAATTCCAGAATTTTTTAAGAAATTAGTCCAGAACAGATAGAGATAAACATAGATTAAAAATATTTTATTTAAAGGGGTCATATAATGCCATTTTTGTACAAGTTAATATGAATGTTTAGGGTCTAAATGAAAACTTTGTAATATACTTTTATTAAAAATTCTCATTAGTATTTTAAGAAAACACTAATTTTACCTGGTCAAAAACAGCCCTGCTTTCAGCACGCCGTTTCAGTGCATATGCCTTTAAATGATAATGAGCTTTGCTGACTCCGCCCCTCTGTTCTGCGGGCGTTTTGCACAACGCACGTGGCGTGTTGCCTTGACAACAGCTGAGGGTATATTTTGGAAAAAGAATGGCGCGGGAGTTTCTGAGGACACATCTGTGCAACCGTATCAATTTGAACCGGAGTCGGACCCGGAACAAGATGACGGCCGCGAAGAAGTTCGACAACTAAGCCTCGACAACAGGACGTTTCTGAACGGTTGGTTAACGTAATGTCACTTTGATCTATCTTTGTATGAACTGGCAGGGTAGAGTAGTGAGATACGAACGCTATGCGTTTACTGATGTATACGTTAGTTCATTGACAGATTAAGGTTACAACTAATGGTCATGAAAAACTTTTTTCCGCGATTTGCAAAGATTAATATAAAGATTAATAAAACTTTACACTTACTTCTTCTGGAGGTGCAGAGGGAACATAAATAAGTTAGTTGGTACCGATTCTTTTTTCAGGAGCAGCTTCTTAGCAAAACCAGCTCATACTGACCCTCGTTTATAAAGCAGTCTGGTGAGAAATGATTCGCGCAAACATGAAAGCATTGACGTTAATCGTGGGGAATATTCCCTTCGAAAACAAAACTCAGCCACTGCGTCTTCGGCGGTTCGGATTTAGGAACATCAAAATGACTGCTGTGTTCGTTATTACACCCAAGAACAGAACAACACAATCGCTTAGACGCCATTTTGCTCCAGAGTATCAACAATGACGGACTACGATGACAGCTCGCTCAGGACGGGTCTGTGTTGAAACGCTGCTGTCAATCAACAATCGTGGGAGGGGCGTCCGACCTTGTGAACGGCTCAATTTGAGACAGGGGAAAACATAAGGAGATTAAGACAAAAACACAGGATGGATTTTTATCATTATATGATGGTTGTGTACAGGCACTGCCAACACACATTTCAGTACAATCAACTTGTAAAAGTGCGTAAAACACACACACATGAACCATTATATGAGCCCTTTAATACTAAAAGTAAGTTATTAGTTTAGGAAGATACCAATGTCAAACTGTACTGCAATCAATTTTAGCTGAGTATACTGCACAGTTCACTTGAGGAGCTCCATTTGCCAATAAAGTAGTTGCCGATGTAGACCATACCAAATCAGTCACTTATGAGGTTCTTTTTGAATTAGTATGCAGCCTTAAAGCCAATTCACACTGCACCAACAGACTCTGACCAACGGCAACAGACAGGTTTGTCGGGTTACCTCTCCAGTCACTCCCCTCCCCCACATCCCACCTCTTCTATGACTGCTGATGACTTCAACAGCTATTTCACAGATAAGGTGGCAACCATCAGCAACCAATTCTCTGCACCACTTAGCCAGAGCCAACCTCCACCCACACACATTCCACTCTCCTCTTCTTTCTCTCTCTTCGCAGAGAAACAGGTCTCCAAATCCTCTGTGCCAGCCATCCAACAACCTGTCCCAAAGTAGATCCACACCCATCAACTACAGGAGGAGATTGCCACCCACTCTGACTCACATCAACAGCACATCCCTTACAACTGGCAAATTTCCCACCACATTCAAGCAGGCTGGGGTAACCCCATTGCTTAGTAAAAAAAAAAAAAAAAAGAAATCTCATACAGAATGACCTAATTGACAACAACCACTCTGGGTTCAAAAGCAGACACTCCACAGAGACCATCCTGCTGACCACTACTGAAACCACTGGATCCTCTTATCCACACTCTCTGACTTGGGAATCACAGGTACAGTACTTCGGAGGCTTCAGTTTGCCACGTCTGGTCTTCAATCAGTCAAAGAGAACCCACGTCATCTCACGCCACTGGCAGTCACGGCCAGAATCAAATTCAAGGTTGACACTGGTTTTCAGGACTGCCACTGGAACTGCAACCTCCTTAATTCACTCATACAAGTTTAGTCATACAAGACCTCCCCATCTGAAGGAGTGATACCTTGTTTCTTCATAACGAGTCACAAAATCTTTACTCTCTCCGCCCCTCTATGATGGAATTAGATGCCAACCTCCACCCAAACTGTTGAGACCATCACAACTTTCAGGAAGCAGCTGAAATAACATCTTCCACAAGCACCCCTCATCCTTAAACCAATACGATATCTATAATATATATCCAGACACCCTAGAATGCATTGCGACAAACTTATCAGACTGTCACATTTTTAGCCAAGCAACATGCTAACACCAAACTCTACTGGTCCACCTTAACAGTCTCTACCTTAAATGATATGCAGTGGTCCTCCTTCACTCTTTTGAGTTGTTATTGTTTTCACTCCCCTGTCAATAACTGGCACAGTTCCAGCTCAGACCACCCAATCAGATGCCTCCAACACAGCAATCCACTGCCTGTTGGCAGCCTGCCATTGACTGCACAGAGAGCATTACGTCATCATTCCTCAGGGAGGCATCTTATTGGTTGAGAGAAGCTGAGCAAATTAGGCACTCGTCCAATGAGCCCAAGGGTGGCTATGGACAGGAACTTTTGACAACAACAGGTCACGTGGAGCTCTGTGAAAGGCTGCTGGTGGAGTTCTCTCTAATGGATTTCTCCTTTAACCCTCCATCTAGTAACTAATCATCAGGCAATTTTGGCACCAAATTAATTGACCCAAATTGAATTGTGGTGTTGGATTCATTAGCAATTCCCAGAGTATTTGGGTCAAAGCACTCCATTCCTCTCCATCAGAAAGCACAATGGAAGAAGAGACAAGTTCTGTTTGACCCAGAACTTCAGTAATCAGATTCCATCCAGCAAAGTTAGAGCTTTTAAGAATGTATTTGTGAAATACAACTATGTTTTCCATTTTCCAAGCCAAGGAATTATTGTCCTAATTGAAGGAAAATTTTACCCAATAAATGCAAAATTAACCACTCTCATTTCATTCTAAAACCAAATGACTTCCCCCAAGGTTGATCTTTTCCATACAATGAAAGTGAACGGATATTGGTGCAGTCGTATATAAAAAAAGAATGACAAAATAAGTTTAAATGGCTCTATATTATGTTTTTTTTGTTGTTTTATGATACTTTTTTTGTTACTTTTTTTCATTGTATGGAAAAGAGCCACATATTATATGGATATTGTGCTAAATATTTCAGCTTGATGGAAGAAAAGGTCTGAAACAACATCAGGGTGAGTAAACAACAATTTTCATATTTTTTATCAAGTTTCCTAATTAATTATTGTACATTAAACATGTTCAAACTTTTACTTTGAAGCACTATTTTTGTGTGTGTGTGTGTGTGCATTAATGTATTAAGAATATTATGCTTAATTAATGTAAAAATAAATTTAAGATTGTGAAAAAATAAATAAAATCACACTGCACCATTATTAAGATGAACATAGTTTACAGCCACATTGTGTTTGATTACTACAAGTAATTTACACAATCTGATGAGATGGTGCCTAGCACAGCACCCAATATTGTTTCAGCTCTACAGTGGTCACCGGGGTCATTGCTTTTTAAACAGGGGGCTTTTAGTCCCAGCAGCAAACAAAACCTGCAAACCCTTCTCAATTCTCACCTCTACACAACCTCATTACACATCACAGCTTAAAACCACGTCAATCTAACACTTCAGAACCGCACCAAGCAACCTCCACAAAGACTGCCAACTGTACTTTCTCATTCACCATTCCTCTAATGAACACGCACACACACACACCAAAAATGCAGTAAGCTGTAACGAATGGGGATTTCATTTTTTTTCTCAATTACATTAACAATTACAATAACTGGCTTAGGGACGTGTTCTTGTGATTATATATTAAAACATGCTTAAAATTTGAGCACTGGAAAAAAATCTTTGTTACAACAAAATTCAATTCATGTGTACATTTTGCATCTTTATTGCATTCCCTTTTTCCATTTCCTTTTAAAACATGTTAGCAGAACCAAACATCCACCCAGAGCACCTTCACCTGACAACAGCAGTAATAACTTACTTTTTCAGGCCTCTCCCACGATGGCCTGGGCTGCGGTTGTCATCGAAATCATTGTCGTCATCATGGTAATCGTCATCCTTCTCGGAGCTGCCGCGGCGGTTCCGGATGTGCAAGGGGACATAACCAGGCGTGGGTCCAAACAGTTTCAGCTCACCCTGACCCAAGAGACTCTTTTCTCCACAGTAGCAGAAGGCACAGAGCTTTTCTCTGAGAGGGATGAGAGAGAGAGAAAAATGTAGAAAAGAATTTTCAGACTTTCAACTATTCAATCAGAAACATAATATAAGTAAACATTCCTTAATACACACAAATATAGCCGTAAATGCTAGGCCAACATTGCAAGTGCATGGTTCTGTTTTGTACTTAACGTGCAATACTGAGAATGCAACTTGCAACTCGCAGTTATGAATTCCGATCTCTATGCCAAAGAAAAGTGACCTTTCATAGCCAAAAGCGGTTGCATTCAAGTAGATTGTTTTGCCCCAAGTCATTAAGCAGTTGCGCATCCAATCCTCACTGCTCTATCTGTGCAACAATCTGACTAGTCAGTATTGTCCATGCCTCATGCCCTAGTGCCCTGCCGAGTTGCTGGAACTGTTCTGACTGGGTGACCTAACTCAAAAAGAATTAAGTAAGAAGATATGACATCCTTGGATGGCTCTGACAGTGAAATCACACTCTAAATCAGTCAAAAGAAAAGATCTCCTATCAACCCACAACTAGGAATGTGCACAAGTACTCGTATGTGACACTGATGATCAATCATGAAAACGATGAAAAAAAATCTGATTGGTTATTGCAGCATTTTGGGCTGTACCTGAGGTCTGATTGCATGTCGTCCAGACCGGCTAAATAAAGTGAACATTGACCATGAATGGGTTATCTGCTAAAATATGATTGGGTCATATCCTTTTAGACGTTTCTTTTTCTAAAACATTGATGATACAGTATAACTAATAATTTTTCCTCGTCATATTTTTTCAACGGTAGGCATACGTTTTAATTCAAATCGTTTGTCATCATTGCTTCAAAAACACGCAGTGATGTCTGGAACTGGAATCACTTGATAAAGTAGATGAAAATCTAGTTAGCCTAAGTGCAAGATGTGCAGCGCCAATCCGGCATAAACATAACATTATAATGGAAACACTATAGAATGTTGTGAATTCTTTGTGCTTTATTTGCCCATGTTTAAGCATGTTGTTAAAGGGGTCCTATTATGCTTTTTCACTTTGCAAGTCCACTCCAAAGGGAGATATTTTATATTTTAACACAATCCACTTTTCAAGAACTACAACGAATGGCTCGTTTGGACTACAACGCACTTTTTCCGGATTTTATGAATTCATAATATTCCTCATTTAAATATCCCCCGCCCACGGAATACGCAAAAAAGTTGGTGAGGCCTGGTTGAGCTGCGCTAGAGAAGATAAAGAGAGCGTTGTCAATGTTTTTCAACCCTGGAAAAAGTTTGCCCTAAGGCTGACAAACTTAGAGAGTGTTCAAATGTATTTTTAACACTGATCCTGAAGATTATAACCTCAACGTTTGTCTGTGCGCTGCAAATTTTACGGAGAACAGCCGACAGACCGAGTATAATGCAGAATATACGCACAAAAGCTTCTCTTGAAAGACGTAGCTATTCACATTTTGTCGGGAAAATCTGTTGTTTATGGATCACAACTTGTAAGGATGTCTTCTTATTAGTAGTTGTGTTTTCTATTAACAGTTTAAGTTTTATAGTTGCTATGATAGCTATGATGTAAACGAAGAGCAAAGCTTTGCCTCCGCTAGCCTGCTAACTAAAATTAAAGTATTGATGTAGTGTTTACTTTTGCTTTTGTAAGACTGTTCACCGCCCCTAAGGAAAATTATCCACGATTTTGTGATATTACCATAGGTTTCCGACAAATATGATTAAATGGTGGATAACATTGTATCTATAAGAAAATTACCACAAAAAAAAAAAAACATACCACTCTGAAACATCCTGTGAAATCTGTGCTTGAATCGGGCTCGAAATGGTTTGAAATAGATGCCATCGTTAATATTTACATCTGAGTAGAGTTTGTGGTTTCCTGAACATGCGCTAAGCGCTGCCAACCACAACACACTGGGCCAGCTAACCAATCACAGCACATTCCGTTCTTCGGAAGGAGGGGCTTCATCGAAAATGACGTGTTCAACCAGACTGGGGAGAGTGGAGCTGCAATAATGTAAAATATGTGAAAAAGAATGTGTTTTTTTGAAAAAAATCGAACATGAAAACATTCTAGTATACCCCAAAAACAAAATCAAGACTTTGTAAAAGGGCATAATAGGACCCCTTTAAGGGAAGAGCATGCATATATATATCTATGAGATATATAAAATAATACATTTATGATATCATGATGTGGCTTGATACGATAGTCAAATTGCAAAGGTTGTGATCTACTTACATAAATATGTGCTGCCAGATTAAGATATACGGTGTTTCTAGAGTCTTGGTACATTTACTGAGAATTGATCCGTCTGAGACACTGATACACTTCATCATGAACTGCACACGTGTAAATGAACACTGTGCTGCATTTCACTCTGAAACGCACAACTCTTCAGACTAAATCGCAGCCATTTGTGATTTGAAAATTATACTAAGCCATACAGCAATTTAAAATGTATTTTAACTAACTGTGCATCCCTATTTATTTAATGTGTTCTGTTATCTAATTAATTATTCGTTTTTCATCAACTCGGGAACACCCTGGAGCTTCCCGTTTAGGAAACCCTGCTGCTACATGCAATAGTTTGTTTTAAGTCAATATTACATACAAATCTACACAGAATTTTCCTAGTAGTACATTTATTTAAACAGTATTTTAAATTATGTTTGGTCTTTGGCCCAAATTTTTCAGGTTTGGTGAATTACTAACAAGACTAAGGCTTAAAAAAAAAATTTGTTTGGTTCCGGTTTCCGACCGACCCTGTCAATTTATGTGCGACCCAAATTTATTTTATGAGCTTGGGGAAGAAATAATAAAAATTAAATAAATACACAAATAAAAAACTTTGAGGCGAACTATAATTTACGTTTTTGTACAGCACGCGATGCAAGATGCCATCTGTTGTCCTCCAGCAAAACAAAGGAGGCAGCTACATGGTCGTTCACACATCGTTCGTCAAACTGAACTATAATACATATAGGCTACAAGTTTTTTTTTTTTTTTTTTTTGTCATTAAGGACACTTTTATTCATATACGCACACATACAAATGCATGCATTCATAGGCACGCACACACCACATGATGAGTTACAGAGTAACCTCCATCCGCCTCCCAAGTTTCATTAAAAATCATCCCAAATCCCAATACCCTCTTCTGCTGTCTACCACTTCTTTCGCCATGTATTTGTTCGTTTCTTTTATTACTTTATGCAATCCAAAACACTCTAACCTGCCGCGCTTCGTATCTCCAGAGCCCGTCTAACTTGTCCGCTTGTCCGCGACAAATGGATTTTTGAAGGACAAGTAAAAGAGAATTTTACTTGCCCGAACGGACAAGTAGCCTGATTAGAACATCAATAACAAACAAACAAATAACTAGGGAATCACTAAACCGAGAGAATGATTTTATTACATTTATTGTAAGTTGCGATCGATTGTGGATAATAAATGCATTAGCCTGCTGACGGTGAGGTGCGCTGTTGACGCTCGCGCAGCCTCTCGAGGAGAAATCTACACACATGAGCGCAGCACACATACACACACTCAGTTAACAACATACTGCCTATAAACAAATCTAAATGTGGAGTTTCTATATTTTAACATATGTGTTAAGCAGCCTCAATTATTTTTCCTGAATACCATATCACAATTGAAAATGTGACATTGATTTCCTACAACAGTTCAATAAACAGTTACAATTAAGTCACTTACATTTTAGATGCAATATTGGCTGTTTTTGTTCTGTTTCTGCAGCGAAAATAGTTCCAAACAAAAATCACAGCAGAACCACGGCGCATCTCACAGGAACACTCAACCTGTTTTCATTACTGAATGATTCAGCATTTTGACCGAATCGGTTGAGTCAAAGATTCAATGACCCATTCATTAACATCTGTCTCATTCTTGAATGAATCAACCGTTTAAACGAATCGTTTGAATTAATGAATCAATGACTCACTCATTAATACGGCCGCCTGCCGCCACCTATTGGCAGTTTAGTGTTATGTTTATAAGTAGCCTAGTATACTTCTTTCCGATGTTTCTTATTTGTACATTTAAATCAATTTCATAACATTATTTTATGCAATTGTAATTTTTCAGTGTAAATTATTTAATTTGATCAGCCCTACTTAGGGTAACAGTATGCTTCATCTTTCATTTTAAATTCCTAAATTTGATCAAGCAATTCAATTATTTAGAATAAGACGACACTATAGGGCATTTAATAAGATTGGGGGAGGGGATGCCCTTCAAAGGTGCAGATATTACAATATGCCAATTTAAATATCAAAGCTGATTGAACACTGATGAGAACATTGCTTCAGAATAAATAAATTAAAAAAAAAATAAAAAAAATCCGGACAAGCAACTTTTTTACTCTGACAAGTGAATGACAGATTTACTTGTTCGGAGGGCAAGCACATGAAAAGGCTTAAGGTCGAGCCCTGAATAATTTCCTACCTATCCCTTGCTGCTGCCACTAAAAAAAAAAAAAAAAAAAAAAAAAAAAAAAAAAAATCCCTACCGACCCATGACCTCAACTGCCAACAAACCGGAACCAAACTTTTTTTTTTTTATGCCTAAGCAACACAAAATAACATAACTGCCTCATTCTCTAGTAAACGAATGGCTTGTCTGGATGGAAAAACTGTTACAAAGTGGAGCCATGCATGTTCTTGTACAGAAGTCAGTCACCCTAAAAAACGACTTGCATCCAAACTGTCCTGAAATTTAACTTGACCTTTTCTGTAGTCAAACAGTCACCAGTCTAAACAGTCATGATTTATTTGTCGCGTTTCCTGTCATTTGGCTCTTGGGTGTGTGTGTTTACTTGTATTTGCCAACAACATTTTGCTCATAAACATTTGTGATTGTTGTGAAATCTTAGTGAAATGTCATAATTGTCAGCGCATTCTCATTAGAGTTCATTTACTTTCTCTGTCAGCTGTGCAGCCCATGAGAGTTGCTGTCAGTAGAAGATGTGATGCGCATGCAGTACTGAAGGGGGTCTCCCCTCCTCTCACACACTGCAAATGGTGCTGTACATTAGCAAGTGCACAATCTGTGCTAATTGGGAAACTAAAAGAGAGCACTCTCTCACCCCCTCCCTTTACTAATGACAGCAGCAGGGCTTCAGCAGTCCCCTCCCCCCACACTCCCTCGCTTTCACTCAGAGTGTGCCAAAAAAGCACACTAGCTGCAGCCATGCGTACCAGTGTTTGCAAAATCCTGAAACTGGTATTTTTAGCATTGTTGTGCGTATGTTTTTGTAAAAAAAAAAGTAACATTTGCTGACTGAACTGTAGGTTATGATGTCTGACACAACAGAGAACTAAAGCCCAAAGTTTTCTTTCTTTTTTTTTACGCGTACATTAGTGTATGTGTACATTCGAACACGTAACCTTTCAAAGTATACTTCATTTGATATCGTGCGTGACGCAGGCGGTCAAAATGCGCTCTAAAAAGTTTCTTTGTCCACGTTATTTTTCTCCAGAAGTTCTGACCGATAAAAATGACTTTTTACTCTTTTACCTTGAAAAAAAGGTGCGGCTATCTCATTTCCCCACCTAACAACTATTTTGTAGTTGATACTCTTTAGTTTTGTTATCTGCTGTGAAACAACAGCACAGGTCAGTATTGCTACCTTGTGGAACAACTGATTTGTGCAAATCAAATTTAATGTGCATGTGCAACCTTGCACGTACAAAAATCGGTCGGCACACGTACCATTCTGGTGGGGTTGGGCGATATACCGGCAGACACAATTAACCGGTAGAAATTTGTCAACCAGTAAAGATTTGCGACGTTCGTCTGTTATAGGACAACTTAGTTTGAATAAAGGAGCAGACACTGATTAGCTACTTGCTCTACGTTTATTTTAAATTAACAACAAGACAACTAGCAGTGAATGTGCTTTCCATTAAATGATCACACAGAGTAAACAAATCCTTAAAAAAACAGGCCTTTCTTTGTCAGTGTCGGCTGCAAAGATGAAGTTGACGATGCTGACTCGCGATCTTCGCAGTAGTCAACGCGCCAAAGAGACATAAGCAGAGAGCAGTCTGTAGTCTGTTTTCTTTCGGTTTGAATTGTTCTGTTTAAAAGTAGACATGTCTGTGAGGCAAGTAGGCTACCTTATACGCTGAGTTTCGGTTAAATTATGAGACGAGCTCCAGTTCACGCGCCGGCGCCTCCGTTTCGTGATTATCTATCGTCTGCTATAATTACTTCTTATTTATTAAATCCAGGCAATTGGTTGATAATACATTGATTAAAATTAAGATACAATTAATACAAAACAAAATTCACTTTAAAGAAAGGTTTTGTGCTTTCTGTTTGATGTCTCTGTGAACATTTTACTCTGTGAGACGTGATTAAATGTCACGTCTTTTAGTGGCACTTTCAGACCGGTCGCATCCGTAACATTGTTTTTTGCCTCATAAATGCGAACACGAAACAAAATAAAATTAATATTTTATGTTCTGTGGAGACTACTGTTACTCATAATTTGTATTCTGAATACTATAACCGTCGGTCTCACGGTTATATAATAACCACCACAACCCTATGTACCATCACAAAGGCTTATTGTTGGAATGTGTTTTTAAGGCTTGTGGTTTAAAAACAAGTGAAAGAGGACTCGTTTCAGTATATGCGTCTGTCTGAGAGACTGTTTCTGAGCCCTGTGAGACACGCGCACATGAAGCCACTGCTCATACAGCGTGTGAGTTGTTTTTGCTGCCTTATTGGACTTGAAAGCTGTGTCAAAATGTCTGTCTTTGCAAGTATCCTTCTAAACACAGTCGTATATGTCGTAATGTATTTCGCCCACCCCTACATTTGCGGACCTTCGCATATGCCTAAAAACCGAAGTATACTTTGGGCTTTAGTCATCCAGTGAGTAAGTGACCGATTCAGTCTATTATTCACACCATGACAACTCATGTGTACTATTCAAACTGATTAACCAATCATTTTAACTGATTCTTCTAAAAGAACTGCCTCAGTAAGTGATTCCTTCACAATTTGGACATCACATCTTTCTCTTCGTCACATACAATTCATCAAACACACACGCAACTTGCTACTCGTTTTGTAAGACCCTATTGACCCCCTTGAACTCCCTTGTACACTTTCTTCTGTCCAAATATTGTTCATCAGTACACTGTGTTTGAGTGAACTCTCTCACCCTCTTCAGGGCAACATTAAAGCTTAATAAAAGCTTGCCGCTCAACCTTTAAACGCACACATGCACGCAGCTTTGAGTCAGTCGAGTGTGTGTGTGTGTGTACTAACCTAGTTTTGGCTTTTCTAGTGGTGGAGGCAGACGAGCCAGCAGAGTCTTCTGACACGGAGCGCTGGAAGAGCGGGGACAGAGGCCTCTCATCTCTGGGGCTGAGATCCAGTGGCTCAGGGAAATAATCATCATCCGTATCTGGCTCAAGCATATCTATGATTTCAAACAGGACAGGAACGATTTTAATATATTTACTCTTTTCACAACTTTTTTCTTGAACAACAAAAGGTAGTCAACATGAAATCAAAATAGACAAATAAATAAATAAGTTTTCTTAAAATTAATCAAAAGTCTTTTGGTTTCTAAAACAATTTCTTTTGCTAGTGTACCCAAGGTCATATGAGCGGACCACAAACTCCAAGCTCAGGAATTAACACATAACCAGATGTTTATTCGTGTTGGTAACAAAAATTGCAAACATATTTGTATGTTCATAAAATTTTGGGGGAAAAACACTCCCCAGGCTCACCTTGATAAGAAGTTTAAAATGAACCCCAGTACTGACTAGGGATGGGCATGATTAATCGACGATCGATGATTGATCATTAAGAATTTCGTCGATCACGTTAATTTGTTATCGATTAAACTAATGCTGGTTGCGTTGCGTAGTGTGAGTGGAAAGTGAACGGAATATCCACGTTAGCGCGGAGTTACTGTGCATCCCGGCAACGTCAGTCCACTCAGAGCGGGTGTTTTCGGCGGCTGGACTGAAGCCTTGTTTACACTCGACGCGTCCACACGAGCACGAAGGTGCACGCGGCAAAAATGACGTCTTTGCGGTATTCGGTGTTTGTTTCACAGGCGAGCGCGTCGAGTATAAACGCCTCGTCCGTTTGGGGAGGCGCGCGCGCAGTCTGCGGAGACTCGCGCTGCAGAGTCAAGGCTTGACGGTCACCAGGTTGCGGTCGCGTCTGACCCCAGATCATGTCATCAACATGCTTATCTTTCTCAACAAAAAATCAGTAGACAAGGGCAGAAGTGAGTTACTGGTTGTTTGTTTAGTAGTCTAATCAAGCTAGCCTTGATTGTAGGCAAATCTCTCTCACCCTCTTTCTCGACTCCGTGCCTTGGATAATTTTGAGTTACATTTTGACAAAACCTGTCAGATCTAACTATTATGATGTTTTTGGTTAAGTTATTGTTTAACATGATTTTTAAAATTATTTTTGGAACAAACGAGGGTCTCTGTTTAAGAACGCCAACTCGCAGCTGCAGGTTCCGTTGCTTTAGAGCACCGCAGCGCATAGGCTACTGTATCTTCATGTTTAGCCTAACCGAACGTCCAGTTTAACTGCTACAAGTTGATCATCTTGTAATAAAGATCTCATCGAGGAAAAGCACGCTGTATTTTTGTATTTTCATTGCATTTTTAATTTTGTAAAAAGTTAAATAAATAATGAATATAAAAATATTAATGATTAATCGATAGTCGATCGTTAATTCTCCCGACGATCGACTAAGAAAATTTAATCGAATGCCCATCCCTAGTACTGACGGATAGAAAAGAGCTACAATCTAAGACATAAGACCTGATTTAATAAATTACAGATTGTACAAACACACCATGACTCATTTACAACTATTAAATGACTCATTTAAAACTATACAAACAATAATTATCGATCAAGTGTTCCTACATAACCAGAAACACAAGCTTGTTTGCCTGGAAAGATTTCATACGCCCACTGGATTAATGGAAACGGTCGTATGAGTGAAGAATGTTGTCTTGCAGCAAAGTGACATTCATATTTGTAAACATGTCATCTGCGGATGCTACATTAAAGCAGTACAAGAAGAAGAGCCGCCAGATGGCAGTTACAATGACCCATGAGGAAGATGAGGAAATGTGTAAAAACAGAAGTTCTCAACTGGGTTTGCTTGAGGATGCATTGGATTTTAGATTTTATTACCCAACATATAGGCTAACTGTACAAAACAAAATAATCATAGTAGTGCTATTTCTTAATACTTTTTTAAAGTTTTAAAGTAATGTAAAAGTTTGAAAGCTTCAAACCCTAATGTAATTTTATGGAAAAAGAGACCAGTACAGCCTTCATAGATATTTTTCCTCAGAAGAAAGTTACATGGATTTTCAATGAGAATGAGTAAATGACAAGATATTCTGTTTTATGGTGAACTATTCCAATAATTTAGTTGAGAGCTTTTAAAAGACATCTACAAAATTCAGCACTGTGGCATGAATATTACCTTCCATGGATAATATCACAATCAAGATTATAAGATTCAAGATTATATATATTTAAGGTTTTGAAAGAGGTCTCTTATGCTCGTCAAGGCTACAAAGCAGTAATTGCAAAATATGATTACAATTTAAATAATTGTTTTCTATTGTAACATTTTGAAATGGAATTTTAATAGATTTTTTTCAAAAGACCAATACTCCACTCTTTTGTGTCAAATGATCCTTCAGAAATCATTATAATATGCTGATTTTGCTGCCCAAGAAACATTTATAATCAATGATCAATGTTGAAAACAGTTGTGTCGCTTCGTATTTTTATGATTCTGAACACAAAAGTTCAAAAGAACTGCTTTTAAACAAAAAAACTTTCGTAACATTAGAAATGTCTAGAAATGTCTGCCGTTAATTTTGATCAATTTGATTAATACTTGCTGACTTAAAGTATTAATTTCTGTCAAAAACAACCAAACCTTACTGCCTCAAACTCCCCCAAGGATATTGACACTTTGTTCCTCTGGAAAACAGTGGCAAAAAACCAAAACAAAACAAATTCACAAATACGATGCATCACAAAAAGCCACTACAATGGGAGCCATGACCTTTAGATTACCCTTTAAAGGGAGGAAAATGGCTCATCTCATGGCAGACTTGCCCACACAGCACTTGTAAAAAAGGATGTTTGAAAAGGCAGAACATTGTTTTTCCATTGTTCAAAAGAGCATTCATGTCAGTAGACATAAGAACAGAAGAAGAAAAAAAGGTGTGCACCACAGTTTGATACTGAAGATGATAAAAACGTATCAGTGTGACATGAAGACTAACTGTAACTCTTATGATAGAGTCTATTTCCCACCATTTACAACCTAAAACACAGATGTAGCTCATGACAGAAGTTTGTGAGACATTTACTGTGCAAATACACAAAATACAAATACACAGCTGTATTTGTAAAAAAAAAAAACATTTTAGTGTAAAAAGAAGAACGGACTGGTGTGACATCATTTCGTCACATAGATATATCCATCGCTGCCTTTGATATCCCACAATCCTGGGCTTTCCACTCTGTGACACTTAAGCTAAAAAAATAAAAGATGGTGTCTGAAAGTTGGGTTGGTGGTCAGTTTGTGTGTAATGTACGTTTTTTGACCAACGTTTTCCACTTTTGATGTAATTTCTAGCGAGAAATTACTAGTAATTAAATATTTGCTTAGTTATAACCAAAGCTCGCTGCATTTTGCTGTAGATCATTAAACCGTTACGCTGCCTCAGAAGTCTGAATGTTGATTATACCTCGATCATTCATGTTAGTTCATAGTGCATTCACTAATGCTAAGAGATACAACAAAAATGTTTTAGTAAATGTTGTAATTAACAATGAACAATACTTTTATTAACCTCAGTTAATGTTAAAGATGGACTCTTATTGTAAAGTGTTACCATTTCATATAGATCCAAACAGTCATGCTTACAGATGGCCATCTTTGAATATCTACACAAAGGCCATTGCATTGGAATTAGATATATATGTATATTGTTGTATGTATACTCCCACACTTTATTTGCTTCTATTTTAGAACACTTGATGTTATCTAATGAAAATAACAAAATATGTATTACAGTGACGATAAACAAACTGAAATCGGATGCGGTTCGGATTTGTTGATCTGTTTCTGTCAGTATCAATTTGCTTTCTCATGTCACTAGATTTAAATAAGCAACTTTGCAGCATAACAAATGCATAAAAGCAACCAGCTGGGTATACAGTAAACTAACGCAAATAGCGTTATACATTAAACATTTGGGTCGGGCCTGCGTGTGTTTTTGTCACATTGTTTTAACCGCGTGAGGTACTACTAATGTTAGCGTCCTCAGGCTCGACAGCAAACACACTGCTATTCTCAACTAATGCCGAGTCTAATCAACAAATTAATTACTTTATAATGTTATGAAAACATGTACGGTGATGTACTGTATACCATTTTATTGTCCGTTTTAAATCCGTATCTGAAGTGTTACGCTCTCACATGTCAAAACAAACACCACAATGCATCAGTGATAGTTTTTATTTCGCCTCTAGAGGACAAAACTGTGTAATGACAGCAGACCCTTCTCAGGCACTCCAGCAACTGAAGCAACCCGGAAAGATTGCCAGCTTGGATTTGCCGATAACTGATTTTTCCGATCAATCGGTAGACCTCTACATGTTGTATGAGTTTAATTCATTGGAAGCTTGCTAATAAGAGCAACTTTCAATCACATTCCATTCAATGTGCCAAAGATCATGAATTTGACAGATTTAATCAAAATTTTGCATCAGCAAGGCCACTTTCAAAGGGAAATCAGCAAACAAACTGAATACTCAAGATGTGGTATTCAAGCTGTTATAAAAACTTTTGAAGAATCAGGAGATGTCAAGGACAAAAAAAGAACTGGAAGGCCAAGAAAACTTTCAAAATCTGATGTGAAGTTTATCAGTGTTTCTTCTTTAAGAGACCGGAAGAAGTCCAACAAGGACCTGGCTCAGTATCTGGCAGCTTCACCGGGATTCCAAGTTGACCCTTCTATAGTCCGAAGAAGCTTGATCAGGAATGGTCTTTCTGGAAGGATAGCAGCCAAGAAACGGGGGCTAAGATATGCTTAGATATGCTAAAACTCACAAAGATTGGAAAGATCGGGAGAAATTTTCCAATCGTCGACAATATGTGAAAAGAAGAGTTGGAGAGAGATGGAAGAATGAGTGCACGCGGACTTTAGTGAAACATGGTGGAGGGTCTGTCCTGGTTTGGGGGTGTATTTCTGCCACTAGTGTTGGCGATATTGTCCGAATTGATGGGATCATGAATGCTGAAAAGTACAGACATGTTTTAATTCATCATCCCATTCCTTCTAGAAAGCACCTGATTGGGAATGGTTTTATTTTTTCAGTATGATAACAATCCCACGAACACTG